TTGAGTCTTGAACTGCTATATTCTGAGAGCCTTTTTAAGCTGAAACCCTCACCTGCTCTTTTCTGAAGTCGCCTCCTTGTTTTGCAGATGCGACTGGAGAAGGACAAATTTTCTGTAAATCTTGATGTGAAGCATTTCTCCCCTGAGGAGCTAAAAGTGAAGGTGCTTGGGGACATGATAGAAATTCATGGGAAACACGAAGAGCGCCAGGTACTTCTACTTTAACTGTGGAACTGATAGAGTCAGTGTGAACTTCCTCATCTATGGTTAAACAAGGAGACTGCAGAACAATCCTCTCCTGTGCTCATCTCAAATACTTGTAATGTTTTTTATCAACCAATCCTAATGGAAGATGCTCTGTGCAAACCCCCCAGCTGAATCCAGACTGGGCAGCAACAGGGTGGAGGTTTATTGCTGATGTTACATGAACTGTGAATTGACCTGGAAAATCATCTTTGAAATGGGCATTTCTGGGCCTCCTTCTTTCTGGGAAGAGGCCAGGAATGCAGGGAGGCATTCAATAAGCTAACAACGAACCGTAATAGTTAAACCACATAATGAATCAGTACATTGCCCTGTTCCGTTACCATAAGGCTACCTCTTCCTGAAAAAGGCCCATCTATCAGTTTGTAATCTTTACAGGTTTTGTTCTGCTGTCAGTCATCCCACTGCTTGCTGGCTCTGGAGACCTGTGTGGCAACTGGGTAGGCAGAAGTCAAAAGCCATATCCAAAGCTGTATGTAACAGGGTTTGCTAGTCCCTGTCTTGCCCCCCGCCCTGCCTCCTTGCCAGAAGGAAATGAATATGCACAATAAAGTAGCTATGCCACTGGAGTTCTCAGCTCCAAGAGCTTCTGGGAGCACAGATCTATCAGTCAGGAAACACAGCACTACTTGTAGCTGGTGGAAGCCTATAATCCTTATATGGCTTCTGCAATTTTTTTTGGCTAAGAGAATAACCATCACTATAGCAGATACCAGCTCACCAGAAAGCTGTGTATTACTAGAGCTCTGGACATCGTCAGGAACAGGTGTGGTTGGCACTGCGTGTAGACCTAGCTGCTGCATCTTAGGAATGACAGCGCACCACTCACTGTACAATGAAGCCAGTCTCTGGCTGGCACGAGAGCTGGAACAAAAAGCCTCCTCCTGTAAACAGTGTACCTGCAGGCACCTGCAGCCTAGGCAGGGCAGTGTCTCACTTCGGCCAATCTTGGCTCTTTAAAAAGGGCATCTCATAATAAAATTCTTTCAGCTGGAGCTTCCCAATCTCAGACTTTATGCAAAGGGCTCATGGTTTAGCTGGAACTGAGTGAACATTTCTAATCAGGGCTGTTCCTTCTCTTCTCCTTTTGAAGGATGAGCATGGCTTTATTGCCAGGGAGTTCAACAGGAAATACAGGATTCCAGATGATGTGGACCCTCTGACCATAACCTCATCACTCTCTCTGGATGGTGTCCTGACTGTGAGCGCACCGAGGAAACAAAGTGACGTCCCTGAGCGCACTATCCCTATCACCCGTGAAGAGAAGCCTGCCATTGCAGGGGCCCAAAGGAAGTAGGCTGCTATTTAAAGTCACCCTGGGGGGGGCCATTCAAGAGCACTTTTCATCAGATGCCAGCTATACTGAATGGGTACTCTTATTATTTATGTTGAGTAAGTTTACTAACAAATAAAACATGAATAAGCAGTTTGTATTTTTTTGTTTTGAGCACTGAGGACAAGGGAGTGTTGGGTCAAGAAAGCTGTGTAAGGTTGCTG